CCTTATTCTATTTGTTCTAGTATAAGTATCTTTGAATTTTCTACAATACAGTGCATCATTTGTGAGTTGAGACAAATGTGTCTTTTTAGGTATTGATGCTCTTGCTTATTTGGTCTGTCTATTTTATTCTGTTATTTATTTCTCTCTGGTGCTTGCTGTTTCTTGAAAGTTTTCTTATCTTAGTTTTCAGGGCTCCCATCTGGGGATTTTGTCTGCTTTAGTGTATTTTGTCTCTTGTGTTTCATGGTTGTCTAGAACAATGCCTTTATTCTTCAATTAGGTGACAGGGTATCAGCCATTCATTCAAATACAAATGCTGTACAGAATGAGGAGCAGCCTGCATGAGAGAAGATGGAGAGTTGGGATTTGGATTCACTAGTTTGAGATGCCCATTTTCTGAACTGTTCAAGTCACTGGCAGAGAAGTGACACCAGAGAGGACAGGCTGGTTTGTTCACCATCAACATGTATGTGACGTTGGACATGTGGCTAATGATGGCATTACCCATGAGAGTGAATAGAACAAGAAGACTGAACTCTAGGGACATTGTAGAGAAGTGCCCACTGGACCTGCTAACAAGGGAACCCATTAGAGAGCTGACTAAGTGTCATTATGAAAGTCTTCTGGGGTTTGCAAGGGAAGTATCCTGGGATAGAAAATGGAAAATAAAGAGAATGAGGGCTTTGGGCAGTGGGGTGGGGATTGTGAGGCAGGTGACAGTGGGTGAGCAGCATGAGAAATTAATATGACTACTCTCTGGGTCTTGAGATTTTTTTTCTTTCCATATTTTTCTACTGAACTTGATAGATGAGGACTCAGCTCTCCATCTTCTCTTCCTCCATGGGCCCTTTGTGTTTTTTTCTTCTGGGAACCATTACCAACTTTCCATCCCTTCTTTTCCACTAAACATATGTTGCAGTGACCACACAGTTAGAAAATGTCTTGCTTTATGTATATGGAGCTGGACACTCATGTGTCACTTTTCTGACTGTAAATATTTTTTTTTCCTTTTTGATTCAATCTGAACCACTTCAATTAAAGGTAGAAACATAAAATCCACATGGGAATCCTTGTGTGTATGAAATGGAAGCCTCATCAAATATTAAACCACACACACACACACACACACACACACACACACACACACACACACACCACCTGAGTCTCCCTTTTATCCCAGTAACAAGGGTGAGAAACTCTTTGAAATCCTCCTGATTCCATGTAAATGACCAAGGCAGTTAGGTAACAAGTGATCTTCAAAGCAGGCAGCATCCTTCCAATGAATGTTTGCACTGATTTCATTATTTCTCAAGGCTCATTGATGCCATAAAGAACAAAGAGATAAGGGGAAAAGTATCTCTTTGATTGCCCCCCTTGGTGTGTATTTTAGAGGGAGGGTGTGATAACGGACCAATTCTCTGGTCATTTAGGGACTTTCTGACATTCTGTGTTAGCATTGGTTAAGAATGGGAACTTCCCATGTGTTGGTGGGTGGGGTAAGGACAAGCTGAATTACAGGGTCAGATGTCCCCATGTTCTATCTGCTGTTTGTTACTCCATCTTTATGACATTGGGGATTAAGCTGTATAAGAAGAGGTTAAAGGTTAGGGGTGCAGTTCAGTGGCAGACAAGTGCTCAGCACTCACTAGGCCCCGGATTTAATCTTCAAAACCACAAGTAGAAACCAGCAACAAACCTACAAACAAGAACTCCACAAAAAGATTAGAAGGAACCAAGAGTTATCTTGATCTAATATCAATTATTGTTTGAACTTCAAACACTTAATCCTTGGTGCTGTAATGGTCAGTGCTTTCATCTTTAATGTGATTTTTCAGTTTGTGATTTTAATTTATAATAGAAAAAATGCATCCTCAAAATAGTCCTATGACACTCTGGAATGTGATGCTTACAATCCCCCAGACTCTTTATTGTCACAGCAAAGACTGTATCTCAAAGATGTTCCAGAACTGAAGGCCCCACAGGACCGTCTTGGCCTTACCATGCTATAGCAAAAGAAACTAGAAAAAGGTGTTCAATGTGTATTAAATAAACGGTATCCGCTGCCTTACTCAGGGATTTCCTAGCAGTTGGGGAGGAGGTAAGTTCAATGGCGTGGTGTGTATGGTATGTGTGTGTGTGGGGGGGGCAAATTAAGCCAGTGCTTTTTTGGTGGAAGCAGAATACCAGGATAACATATGACCTTTTTCACTATGGAGAAAAATTTTCTGACACTTAAATTCTGGTATTTAAAAAATTATTATTAAAAAAATGATTAGTAAGAAAACTTAACAGGAAAACAATTTATATATTAACACCTAAAGAGAAATGGTTTTGTTATTTTAATCTAACTACAGAGGACCCAAAAGAACACAGAACCTTAACTGTTTTGGCAAGAGGAAGCCATAGTTTATGTGCTGACCCAACTCTGGTGAATGCTAGTAGGCTCTTGACCTCCGTTCTGTCCAGTAGATGTATAGAGAGAAGACATGTAGCTCACTATTTTTGTTACACCATCAACCCCAAAAAGAAACAGGTAAAATCAATTTTAAAAGTATAGTTCAGTTACCACAATAGTTTTAAAACAGTTTTCATTTCCATATATAATGTGAAAATGTTTATTTGTTTGTATATTTGTTTTGTTTTCCCATCTTGTTCTGTCTCTGAATTCTAAACGTGTATTCGACACTGGTGACCCAGCTTAAGTTAGACATTACAATTTCAGTGGTTAAAATGACATTTAACCTTACCCAAGCAACAAATAAGCTGTAGAATATCTCGAAAAACCAATATATATATATATATAACATAACTTTAGTTTTAAATTTCAAATTAATTAAAATGGAAAATATAATAAAGATCACATCCTCACTCATAGTAACCACACATGTGGCCGTTGCATGTGGCTGCTGGCTGATATCAGTTTTCTCCAAGTGCTATTTCCATCATGGCCCTAATCAAGCCTCTCGCCAATCCTCCAGCAAGAACTTCCTGGGTTGGACTGTTTCCAGCTATGAGCTGAATTACATTGTTGCCAAATTCATGCTGAAGCCCAGCCCTCAGCAGCTCACAGTGGGGCTGGGCTGTCTGTGTTCTGAGAAGGGTATTTAAAGATGAGATCAGGGCAAAAAGGAGGCGTCTGAATGGTAGCTTCTTCCGAGAGGGGATTTGGACACACAGGCTCCAGAGGTGCTTGTACACAAAGAAAAGCCACAGGGACAAGAAGGCTGGCCACTTGTGGCCCCAGGCAAGAACGCCAATCACTGACTTCTGTTGCATAAGCCACCTAGTCTATTGAATTGTGTTGTGATAATGCTAGCAAAGTAAAAAAGTAACCAAGCATGTGGAGGGTAAATAAAGTTCACATAAGTGCTCTAGTCTTTGGAAGTATACCTTTCTTTTAGCCACTGGCTTTGGATTTGGATATATCCCAGAGATTCCTAAAACTTGGATTTCAGAACCCATTTTAAGAAAGCAGATCCACAGGCTGCCGTTTTTGGTTTGTTTCTTTAGATGGCCTTGCATTCATCCTTCATTAGCTTGCTGGCTAGGATGTTGTGTCAGCTTTCCTTTTGGAAGCTGGTGGGTGAATGAGACGCACCCCCAAATCATAAACACACAGCGTTGAGGTTCAGAATGAAGTGTCTGCACCCATCAGGTGGAGTCTCTTGCCTTTGTCCAACACAGCCACTCAGCTTCTTCATGATCACCAAAGTTTGTTAATAACATTTGTGCCTATGCTAATACAATCAGAAAATTATGCAGCCTGTCTACTTCCTCCCAGAGAGAACGGGGTGATCAGCCATTAGTGATTCACACTGATGAGCCTCTACTAATTGCGTAGAATGTAATTAGTGATTATATAATATTTGAGCTCTTGCAACTGTCATTAATGTCCACAATTCACCAGAGATGGGCCCTGCTGAATGGAGTGTGATTGCTGCATGCTAAATCTAGTTAATCTGAGGTATGGTAATCAACATCGGGCACACTTTAGGCAGTGGTTAAAAGCACTGGTGACCTCGAGAGACAGAGAAAAAAAAAATCTCACCCCTGCCACCTACCAAAGTCTGAACTGCATGCAATAGAGATCTCTTTCAAAGAGGAATTTAATTATGAAATGGCCTGGAAAACTCAAGGGCATAGTTATTGCATGGCTTTAACCCCTTTAGATTTTTATTTTTTGTAATAGATACAGTGATCAAAATGTTGTATGGGTGCTGATATTAATTATGACACATTAGATTATTGACTCGGGTTGTGTTATATGTTAAAAGTTCTGATGGATTTTATCATGTGTCTAAGAACTGGATTAAGAAATAGTTCTTGGGGAGCAGGAGAGGTACTCAGCATTTAAGAGCCTGTACTATGCTCACAGAAGACCTGAGTTCAGTTCTCAGCACCCTTATGAGGCAGCATATAACCACCAGCAACTCCAGCTCCAAAGACTCCCACACTTCCGGCCTCCATGGGCACAGGCATTCATGTGCATAGAACCCAACACAGACCCCCCCCACACACACACATAGTTAAAAATGAAATAAATCTTAAAAAAGAGAAATAGTGCTAAGGTGTGGTTCAGCGGTAGAGAGCAACCAAGCTTAGCGTGTGTGAGGACCTGAGTCTGATGCTCAACTAGGAGAGAAAGGAAGAAGAAACAGAAAAGATTCTTCCTGAAAAGAAAGCTGGCAAGATGGCGTATGGGGTGAGGGGGTGCAGGCCATGCAATCCACAGGGGAGAAGGAGAGAAAAATGACCACGTGTTGTTCTCTGACTCCACGTGGGCCTTATGGCATGGCTGTAACACACAAACTCAAGTGAGCGCAGAGTTTAAATGCCCCTCAAAAGGGCCATGTGTTAAAGACTTGTTCTCCAGTGTGGCATTAGTGGGAGATGGTGGAACATTCCAGAGGTCCGAAGAAAGTCTGGTCGTTTAAAGGCCATGTCTTTGCAGAGGATCATGGGGTTCCAGCTCCCTTTCTTCCTCCTTTTTCCCATCCCAGTTACACGTGGTTTTGCTGTGCTCCCCACCAGGATGTGCTGCCTCAGGCTCAAAAGCAGCAGAAGCACTTGATGACAGCCTGAGATCTCTAAACCCATGAGCCAGACCAGTTTCTGCTGGTAAGTTATCTCAGCTCTTTGTCAGAGTGATGGGAAGCCCACTGTTCTGTATGGTCCACAGGGTGATCTATGGCAGCCATACTGTCAGTTTTGAATAGGTTTAAGTGCACAGGAAGCAAAACTAAATGAATAAATGGCAAGTAGCAGATAGAAGGAGGAAGTAGACAGGGAAACATCAAAGCAGGGGTTCACGACATCTGGCCTGGAGCAGACTGATTGAGAGAGCAAACGACGGTAAACTCGGGTACTTACAAATGCCCAGAAGAAACTGGCTGGGGAAACTGAGGCAGCCAGCTGGAGTTTCCAACTGAGCTTTCTCTCCATGGACAAGCTTTTCATGGCTGAACTTCCGGCTTCATGCTTCCAAGCAGGCATTTTTATACCATGTGAGAAACAGCAGCAACCTCTGTTGGAAATGGCTTCCCTTCTAGCTATTTGCAAAGACAAATGTTCCTTTTTTTTTTTCTTTATTAAGAAATTTTCTACTCACTATACATACTACCCACAGATCCCACCTCCTCCCTCCTCCCACCCCCAGCCCTCCCTCCAAGCCACCCCACATCCCCACATCCCCCAAATCAAGGTCTCCCATGGGGAGTCAGCAGAGCCTAGCACACTGAACCTAGGCAGGTCCAAGCCCCTCCCCACTGCACCAAGGCTGTGCAAGGCATCCCACTACAGGCACCAGGCTCCCAAAAGCCTGTATATGCACTAGGAACGAATCCCGATTCCCCTGCCTGGGTGCCTCCCCCCGAAACAGTTCAAGCCTAGTCCAGTCCCATGGGGGCTCCACAGTCACCAGTCCACAGTTCATGGGCTTCCACTAGTGTGGCCGGTCATCTCTGTGCATCTTCCCATCATGACCTCGATGTCCCCCGCTTGCAGAATCCCTCCTCTGTCTCATTGATTGGATTCCCGGAGCTCAGCCTGGTGCCTGGCCGTGGATCTCTGCATCTGCCCCCATCAGTCATTGGACAAAGGCTCTATGATGACAGCTAGGTTATTCGCTAGACGGGTCACCAGAGTAGACCAGTCCAGGTACCCTCTGGACCACTGCCAGCAGTCCAAGGTGGGGTCATCCTTGTGGATTCCTGAGAGCCTCCCCAGCACCCTGCCTTTTCCTATTCCCATGATGTCCTTATCTAACATGGTATCTCCCTCCCTGCCCTCCCATTCTGTCCCTGTTCCAGCTCGACCCTCCCATTCCCATATGTTCT